CATGGCCGGTCAATCTCGCAAGTGGATGTTGTTAGTGGCCACCATATGGATTCAGGCCTTCACCGGCACCAATTTCAATTTCGCGGCATACTCCTCCTTGCTGAAATCCTCCCTCAATATCTCCCAGGTCCAGCTCAACTACCTCGCCACCGCCAGCGACATGGGCAAGGTCTTCGGCTGGTCCTCCGGTCTCGCCCTCTTGCATTTCCCGCTCTCCGTAGTCATGTTCATGGCCGCCTTCATGGGCTTCTTCGGTTATGGCCTCCAATGGCTTCTCCTTCGCAATCTCATTACCCTGCCGTATTCTCTGGTACTTATATCTATCCTCTTAATTAATCTTCTCAACCTTTCTATTTTTGTGCTCTTAAATCTTTCTTCTTCGTAACTTTGGCTGCACAAAGAAGTTCTAGGAAACTTGATTCGTAAATCACAATCATGATTATTTATGTTTACAAGAAGGTGCTTTCTGCGTCTCAGTTTCTTACTGATTAATTTCAACTTCATTGGGTAATTTAAAGTACGTGAGTTTTCAAGAAATTTTAAGCCACCCTGGCACCTGGTCGGTTGCTTCTTCCATTTCTGCCTGAACAAAAGCGAAAACTGTTTCAGATTACTTGGTATTGATTCTATATTGCTATCTGGATTGTTGAGGAGAATAATAAATGACAGAGCTATATTGGTTATGGTCTTCGATGGTGGCGAGCCATAAGCGCAGCGAAAGGTAGACCCCATAAGCTGCGCTTCTACGGTTGACGCCTGATCAGGCAAATGCCCCCGATTTTGCTGCTCTCTTTTTGACCCATAAAAAATAAATATTATTCTTTTAGTAATATATATTTTTTGGTGATAGTAATAATATTTTTAATTATAAGATCTCGTTTACTTATTATAAATGAGGTTTTGTAATTGTAATTAGGATGGGGTAGTATATTACTATATTATTGTTGTGTTGACTTCTTCAAATCGTAAATCAGTAATGGAGAACAGGACCAAACATGGATGATGCAGTTTTCCAGGTACACTACTCATTTTCGAACTGTATTTAGTGGTGTTCTTAAAAAAAATTATTATTTTTCTAAACAGAAGAGATAAATCTTGAGTGGTGGCCCCAGCTCCCATGGAATTTAGCCCAGTTTTAGGATATTTCTTACGTATAATTTTGGACTCAATTGTAGCACACTACGTCTTTGTTTTACGACCCTCGATCATTTCTTGACTTTTTCTGTTTAAAAATCCACGGTCCTCACTGTTTTAGCGGTCCGACGTAAGGGGAAAAAAGGGTTGAAATGAATAAAACTAGGCAGTGAGTTAATTAATTTGTTTTATAAGCGAGTTAATCAATTAAACGTACAGAAGATTTTTTTTTTTTAATTAAAGGGGTAGTAATAACGGCACGAGATTATAAGTGAGATTTGCCGCCAAGCTACAAAGCTAAAGCAAGACTTCAAACTCACTTCCAGCTTATTAACTTGTAAAGTTTAAAATACTTGATTCGATGGCAAAAACAAAACTTGATTCAATTTGATGATATAATATACTTTTTTTGCCAACTATATAATATATATATATATATATATATATATAAAGTATCCCCTTTTATATTATGCAGCAGAATTTCATATAGATGCGTAACGGACACATGAGATTTTGTTTGTAAGGTGATAATTATCTCGATTTCGTCCTTTATTATCTGTGTTCTGTGGTATTGTTTTAACAGGAAATGCTTTCGTATTCTAATTTTGGGGTCCCAGTAAAAATAGATTCGCCGCGAGTCTTCTTTCAAACTATGTTCGCTACAACGCACAATATCTGTCACTTTCTCTGTTTGTCACAAACTCACAATTGAAATGATATTTCTGTTTTAAACTGATACTTTTTATTTTTATTTTTTGGTGGGTGATACTTTTTAAATTTACGAGTGAAAATACGATTGCAACCCCGCCGTTAGAGCCATTGATGGATGATACCAAGTATGGGGGTCTTAATAGACTCGGATCCCTATATTTTTTACATTATTAAGCTGAAAGATACATTTTCAGAAATATATAAATAAATTTCTCCAAAGGGCATGTTCTGCTGCTTTGGGAGATCCAGTTGAAAACACCGAAGAAAATTAATCTGGTGCATTTGGAATCTGTCTCCTATATGAGAGCTTCAATTGCATGTGATGGTTGATTATGCTCTATCCACCATACTATGATCTGTGTTTTGGTGCCTAGCATGTGATCAGCTGATGTATTGTACTTTGCATCTTTCAGTTTGCTGTCAATACCCTTCTACCTATACTGAAAAGCTCTTCCGTCTGATGATTAATTAGCTACATTTCTTTTAAGTGGTTGCGATAAAATAATTCTCAAATTGGATTCACAGGAAAGAACCCATAATTGAAGGAATTTGTCCTTATTCCTCTGTGGTTTAAAAGTGTTTTTTATTAGATGGTGATTAGATCTGTAACTAGCGGCTAATTATCTCTCAATAATTAACTCCCATTGAATTGTAATATGTACGAGAAAACTTTATCATAGCCGTTCATCAGATTAACAAACTTTCAATTTGCATATGGCAGGTGTTTCTTCTGTGTTTGTTATCCGGCTGTAGCATCTGCTGGTTCAACACAGTATGCTTTGTTCTCTGCATTAGGAATTTCCCAGCGAATCGATCACTTGCATTATCACTCACCGTGAGTTTCAATGGAGTTAGTGCAGCACTCTACACGCTTGCTGCAAATTCCATAAATCCCTCGTCCAGTGAATTGTATCTGCTCTTGAATGCCCTTGTTCCTCTTATCACATCCTTTGTGGCATTAATCCCAATTCTTCGCCAGCCAGCTTTAGACAATCTTCCTCCGGATGCAGTTCACCGGGACTCATTGATCTTTCTGATATTGAACTTCTTAGCAATTTTCACTGGCCTCTATCTTCTTCTCTTTGGCTCATCTGTCTCTGATGCAACTATCGCACGTCGCTACTTCGCAGGAGCTATATTTCTCCTCGTCTTCCCATTATGTATTCCCGGTACTGTCTATGCTCGAGACTGGTTCCGCCATGCCATCCATTCTAGGTTTCGGATGGAAGGCTCAGGCTTCATACTTGTTCATGTTGATGATCTTGAGCTTCACAAAGAACTCCTACCAGTCCAATAGCATTCATAGTCTCAACAATGATGACTCTGAAAGTCTGTTGTGCGATAATGGATCCATGCATGGAAGTCTTACTGCAAAAGATAGTGATGGGTGTTGTGAGAGGATGATTGACAGGGATCAGTTGACAGTGCTAGGTGAAGAGCACCCAGCTTCAGTGGTTGTACGTAGGTTGGACTTTTGGCTTTATTATTGCATACTTCTGTGGAGGAACCATTGGTCTTGTCTACAGCAATAATATGGGACAGATTGCCCAATCTTTGGGCCTGACTTCAGATATATCTACCCTTGTCACTCTTTATTCATCATTCTCCTTCTTTGGCCGCTTGCTTTCAGCTGGACCAGACTATAGTCGTAGGTAAGGATTCTTATCAATCTATGATAATTTCTTTTTTAATGTGTCTTGACTTCAAGCAAGTCTTTAGCAATTCTAACTACTGGTATTTTCTTTGCATTGCAGTAAATTTTACTTTGCAAGGACAGGGTGGCTAACTATTGGGCTTATACCAACCCCGTTGCGTTTTTCTTGCTTGCCGCATCAGACAGTGCTGTAGCACTTAAAACAGGAACAGCACTGATTGGGTTGAGTTCTGGGTTCATTTTTGCAGCAGCCGTGTCAGTTACTTCTGAGCTATTTGGGCCGAATAGTGTGAGCGTCAACCACAATATCCTCATAACAAATATCCCAATTGGATCTCTTCTCTATGGTTTCCTTGCCGCAGTTGTTTATGATGCCAATGCACATCATCCAACAAACTCAACAGTATCTGACATAGCAGTGTGCATGGGAAGGCAGTGTTATTTCTGGACATTTGTGTGGTGGGCATGTATATCTATCATCGGACTAGCTTCTAGTGTGTTACTATTCATGAGAACCAAGCATGCATATGATACTTTTGAAAACAAACGTATCTCAACACAACCAATTGTGTTTTAAGTTTGTGGTTCTGAATTAAGATACATAAAGATCATGAGGTGATTTACTTTGGCTTCATTTGGACATATGCAGAAGCTAGGAGTTGTACAGGGTTTTCTTGATTTTAGATATGTATACAAAGCCAAAGAGGCAGAGATAAATCAGGGTTGAGTGTAGAGGAGATTTAGATTCAGTAGCAAAAAGGAGCAGGATTACAGATTAGATGCATGAGGATTGAGGAAATATTCATTAATTTCTAGTGACATCTGGAGCTTCACGAAGGTTAATCCTTTTTGTAGGCGTGATTTGGACTTTCCGACTGAGTTTTGTAGATTATTTCTCTTTGGACATGGTTTTATCTGTGCTCTTATAATTCAGCTGGGGGAGGCAAAAGCAAGGGCTCCGAGTGCTCAACAGCTCAAGGCTCTTGGGCGGGGCTGCTCTGCCCGGGTGACTTCTGATCAGTTCTGTACTTTACGATGCCTGTCATTTGAAATGTAGCGGTAGTTGCCAAACCTTTCCCTTTGTTTCTTTTTCTCTCAGGAAAGAAAATTTATCATTGATAATTATTTATTTTATTTTTAATATGATAACCCTTAGCATTTTTGGGAGATACAATAGACAAATTCCGTATGACTAGTAATATTAAATGACAGTCCAACACTTCTTTTGTTGTCATTTCTCAATTCTGTTAGTAACAATTCATCGGTCATCATTGCTCTGCTAGTCTGGACACAGACTCACCGATGAAACATTAGCAGAATGTGAATGATTTGTGAGCTCTGAATTTGATCACATTCGTTGGGTCCATGTCCTGTGGCGTGGTTTTTATTTAGTCATCATCAATTGGTACGGTTTAAGCAAGAAATACGCTCACAGCAGCATACTCTCCATGTAATATAGATGTACGCACAAATCTGCCCTCTCCTATGATCACGCTTACAATCTTCTGGATGTGATATATAAATTTTATTGATTGGATTAACATATGGAATCGATATAACAATTGTGGTATTCAATCATGAAGAAAATCGAAAGAAAAAGAAGAAAGAATGGAGAAGTATCTATAACCTAAGCCTTCTTCACGGATAGGCGCAAAATGCATCATCTTTTATACATAGGAACAGCCTCTCGTATGCCAATGCCATCTTTGTCGCCGTGAACATGGAAGTTGCATATTCACGACATGCCTTTCCCCTTCTTGCTAGCCTCTCTGGACCTTCCTTCACCACAGCTTCAAGTGACTCCAACAATGAGTCCACATTTGGAGAGAACATAAAGCCAAACTCATCATTAACAACCACACTACCTTTGATGCTTGGAAATCTTGATGCCAAAAGGGGCTTCCCGCTCATCATTGCCTCCATTAGAGTAAGATCAAGTCCTTGTGGCCTAAGCGTGGGATTCAAAAAAATGTCTACAGCATATAGAACGCCCTTAACATGGACGGGCTCATAGATCCTAGAACAAGAACTTGGCCTCCTAAATCCTTGTACCGATTCTCCCATGGTCCTGAACCAGCAACAATCAAGTACACATTGGGTGCTGGGTTATTAGCTTGGAGTATGCTTCATGAAGCAGAGGATGTCCTTTGTCCTTCACCAATCTTCCAGCCACACCAAGTACTAAACCTGCATTACTAGGAATG